TCTTTCTGATCGCCAGCTCGTCACTAAGCAAAGAATGCCTATGGAAGGAAGTGGTTGATGTCTGGCGTATCCTCCTATCCACTCGCTCGATTGCCATCCTGGCGCCAGAGAATCCCAAATCTCCCACCTCTTTCGCCTCGACCGCCTTCTCGTCTGCCAGCCCTGTCTCTCGCAACCTCTGGCAAGCTGCATCCCTCCTCTCATATCTGGCCCTCATCTCGTTGATCCTCTGCTCACTCGTCCTGGGATCGATTGGCGGTGCCGACTCTACCCCTGCAGCCTCCATCTCGATTTTCTTCTCGTATAAGTCTGCAAGACGAGCTTGTACCTGGCAGACTTCTCCTCTCCAGTTTCTCTTTGTGGCCTCCCCGCCGGCGCTCCGTGGGTATCTCGAGCAGAAGTCTCGGTATCTTTCCCCCTCTCATAACGCGGCGACCCTAGGAATGGTTCACTCGCGGCGGACACCTCAATATCAGGGTGTTCCGACGTGTACGAGGCTAGCCGCGAATCAATGGTCGCGCGGGTTTTAGCTCTCGACCCCTCCTTTGGCCAGACCGTCTCTGCCATCTGTCTGGGCGACGTAATATCCTCCTGCGGGGGTGTCGGAACCTCACCACTTCTGGTTCAGGAATTCCGTCTGGCCAGGGTTGCTGCACCTGCTCTGGAGCTGGGGTAGGAGGGGGAGTATTTTCCTCAACTGTAATGACCTCCTGAACCTGCGGCCTCTCTTGGTCATGTGGCTCGGTCTCTGGCTCAGGGCCCTGCGACTCTCCCATTAGTGGCTTAACCGGATTCATGCTCAGTTGTGGGGCCCCCCACTGAGATGCGTCAAGATGAGCCTCTAGACTCCTGAATGGCGTCTTTGATGGTCCAGCCTCTTCCCGCTCCAGCGATCGCAGCGACGGACCCTGCTGATCACTACTGGTGATTGGACGAAACTCCACCTGCCTAAGTCCGCAAGCAGGGAATGACTCCAGTGCTTGAGCAGGCACCGCTGATTCCTCCTCTTGCCGCGCCAAGGCCTTCCGACCTCCTCTAGTCGCGATGGCCTCCCTTGGCTCAGGATCCCTGGTCCTCTTACTCCTTCGTCTCCTCTCGACCCGGGGCTCTGGCTGCCGGAACGCCTGTCTCAACTGAGCCTGTCAGTCTTCCCAATCTCTTGCCCTATCCCGGATCCGTCTCGCCACTGGCCTCTCTGCCCTTCTGGTCCAAAGGAGCAATGTCTGCATCCACTCCTCCTGCGCAACTCCCATATTGCGCATGTATCATTCCAAGGCTGGGACGAACTCCTCTGCATTACGTTCCTCCAATCTAATAGGCAGACCATCGCGCCCCATCGGCGAAACCCTCAGCCTCTGCATCCTTGCCTCTACGCCTGGCCAGGTCAAAGCCTCCTCACGGATATGCGCTATAGGCTCCTCGAAATGTCCAACTCCCCTCAGGTTCCGTATCATCTCCTAAGTGGTCCATCTTCTTCGCGTCGCATGACCCTGATAGGCGTCCAAGAAGAGCTCTATGTTACCATCGTCAAAGACGGGCGTAGACTCTCTCCTGAATGGCCCGCGCTGATCATCCCCTCCATATGCCCCCAGGGGTCTCTGCCGTGGCTGTGCATCCCTCCCGCCCCTCTGCATGACTGTCTTCGAAAAGTCAAATCTGCACAACAGGCGAGAGAGAGCAAACAGGCACACAGTAGAGTCAGCAAGCAGGGCCATCAGATCTAAAACAGGTACATACTTAACCTAAACACACCCATCATTTTCACCCTTCTTTCTAGTCTACCCTGGTCATGCGATACTTTAAGACAAAGATTTGTTCTAAGAAGTATAAAGTTATTTACCTACTCCCTGGTCACAAAATTTTTCAACCTTGTCCCTGATACCCAATCCTTCCATTTGGTTTTGTCCAACTCCTCGATCTGGTAGGCTCCGAACTCGCCGCATTGCACGATCCTATAGGGTCCCACCCACCGTTTATCGAGTTTCCTCGACCATTGCTTTTCCAAAGAGGAATTGTACAGCAACATGACGCCCCCAACTGCCAATGGCTCCTTTCGCACTCACGTCATTTGATCTCATTGCATTTTATCCTCCATGCGACTCCTTTCCACCTGATTGGAGGCCTTCCGTATCCTTTCTTCAGCAGCGCCCACCTGTCGTGCCCGAATATCGAGCAATTTCTCGAAAGACAGGTTGGTCTCCAAGTCTTGGCGCCTCCAGGTCTTCAGGAAACTTTATATGGGAAAGGTGGCATGCCTCTAATACCACAGAGTGGCCGGTGCGTACTTAGTAGTCCTCTTTACCGTGACATTCTCAACAAAGAGGGCCGCTCGAAGGAACTTCGACCACTGACCGGGTCTGCCCTCTGTCCACTTAGCTAGAAGATTCGTGATAGTGTTATGCCCTCTTTCCACTGGTGCGTTTGCTTGGGGATGTGCGGCGATGGTATAATTCGCCACTATTCCATACCCTGCAAGCAACGTTTGCACCTCTCTACAGGTAAACTTCGATCCTCCATCACGAACTCCTTGACAAAAGGATAGTGTAGGTAATACTCCTCGATGCAGCTTACCAAAACTGGGCCGGTCTTCGTGCGAATGACCTGACCGTCCACAAACCCAGTAAGGTTGTCTCGCGCATCGAAGATATAGTTATATTCATTCTCCGCAATTGATATGAAGAGAAGATCCAGATGTACCACCGCGCCTACCTCTCTTTCCAACCTTGGGTGTAAGGGTTCCCCTGGCCTCTGCGTCGATCTCTCTTGGCAAGGTACACAGGACTGACAGTGCTTGATGACCATGTCAAGCATTCCACTCCATTAGTATAGCTCGCTTATCTTAGTGTACGTGGCATTTACCCCTCTGTGCCTTCCTGCTATACCGTCGTGCAATGTTGCGATAATGTTGATCTGTCAGTTCCTCCCGCATACAATCCGCTTCGGATTTTTGACTTGTCGTTTTATAAACAAATGGCCATCTCTTACCACATAGAGGTGCTTCACCTTCTATGCCTTAACACTTGCATCTCTGTCCCTCATCTCACAGGACAGGAGTAGCCCCAATTCAAGGTAGATTCCATCATATTCTTCCGCACGAAAAGCTTCCTTGATCTCTCCTTCCTCAAACTCATCATCCTGGCTTTCAGGTACAAAATCCTCACCTTCAGCCGGATTCAATAAGCCTCTTCGATCGAAATCACTTTGCAGAAGCGTATTCGTAAGGAGATACATTCAGTTGCTCATGCTCCTCTACCTGAGTAGGGCCTTCCTCTATCGTCCTCACTTATTCCGCCAAACGATGTGTACCTGCCAGTGCCAATTTCATCATTCAGTGAACGTCCTTGCCTCCCCATGGGTCCTCCTCCTGGAAGGGCTTGAGGACTAACTCTGCCTTTTGCTCATACCCTCTATGCGCTAGCCATATGGAGTGACTGACACAATTAGGCACTCACAAGGACCACTCGTTTATATGGAGGTGGACGTTCTCTTCTTGATTCAGAAACCCATCAACTGGTGGAGTGTCTTCTACTGACTCCTGATCTTGTATGTCCCAGTTGATGCGGCTCAAGCCATCTGCCTTGTTTTTGTCCCCCAGAATTCTCTCCAGTTCGAAATTAAACATCCAAATGTACATCAACCATCTTGCGACGGTTGGATCAGAAGGAGTATAATTTTTTAGACAACAGGCGAGCGCAGTGGGATCCACTCTCAATATAAACCTCCTGCCATAGACATAGTTCCAGAAGATCCTTAGGCAATGGAGTACCGCAAGCATTTCCTTATTAAATTGGGAGTAGTTCCTCTCAGTCGTATTGAGTGTTCGACTCTCGAATCTTAGCGGTCTCTCCTTTCCTTCAGCATCTGCCTGAACCAGGACTTCTACCAGGGAAGTCGGCCCAGCGTCCGTCTCGATGATGAATGACCTTACCTCTGTAACTTCATAGTTCGGCGCCCCTAACACCAAACCTCCTTCCTTAAATTCCCCCTTCATTCTCTTTACGGCCTCTTCCTAATCCTCGCCCCAAATCCATTCCTGATCCTGACGCACCAGCTTCCGCAAATGCTCAGTCTTGGTGGCAAAGTTTCTCACAAAACTCCTCCAAAATCCACAAATCCCGAGGAAGCTCCTCACATCTGTTATTGAGCGGAAGGGTATCGGCCTTCACATCTGGCCTCCAACCACTCTCATTACAGACAAAACCCAAAATGGTAGCTTTCCTCATGCAATGCTTGGACTTTGGGCCACTCGTCGTAAGATTGTACTCTTCCAATAGGCTCAGAACCTGATCAAGGTCCTGAACATGCCTCCAGACGAAACGCCTTACTCCAGGCATCACTTCGTCTTCGTCTCTCTCTCTCGGGCCTTTGACCGCCAAGTCATCTACATAAGGCTAGGTGATGTGCGGACTGACTATCTGCATGGCTCTAATCATATGTCTTTGCACCATCACCACTGCATTGGTCCAACCTTGAGGGGCTACATTCATATGAATTAGCCCCCTTGGCGTATGCATGGCCGTTACTGGTCTATCCGACGGGTAACAGGAAACTGGTCATATCCAGAATAGAGGTATATAAGTGAAATTATAGGCCTCCGTGCACATGACTCTGACAATGCGTCCGCGTTCGACAATCCTCCCGCATCTCGCACTGTCACATCATTTAGTTGTTGCAAGTCCTGTACCCACCGCAGCGTCACATTTGGCTTCACGAAGCAAAACCAAAGGGAAGCATATGGTCCGCTGGAGTAGTCAGCAACATGGGTGCACATCTTGCCGTCCAGGTAGTCCACCACCATCTTCTCCTCATCAGGATTATGATATCACGCGCCCCTTCGATTCCATGACTCATGTGAGACGGTGTGGATCCGAATCATCGGGATCTTGTCCACATCCAGTCTCCCACGCTGATCGTCATTGAAGGCGTATGCGCGATACCTTTCCTTCATCAACCCCACCATCAGAGCCTTCTCTTGGGATGAAAGGAAGTCAGGCTCTCCAATTATCAACTGCCCTTCATTTTCATCATTGATACGGCATGGACCACTCGATGCCTGGTCCCGCATGCGCCGTATCAATCCTCGTTCCCGCTCGTAATAGGCCTCCTTGTCTTCAGTAACGAGCACGGGAACTGGGCGATACTTCTTATCTACCGTCTTGTACCGCCTTTGGGAGCCCTGCTTAAGCCGTCCCCTAAAAAAGGTCGGCTTGTTGTTTGTGCCTGAGCCATCACAGGGCCTCCCCTTCCACCGGGAAGCCGATAGATCAATTCCACCTCTCCTGTCTGAGGGCCTTCCAGAACTTGCTCCCTCAATGCCTTGATCGCCTCCGGGTCCGCCATATCATGCGTCGCCACCACCTCCATGGCCTTATTTACATCAGTGAGGCTTAGTGACAACTCTTCGGCCCCTCTTTCGTCCTCAGGCGCCTCCCAAAGCCTTCGCCGCTCGTTCTCAGATTCTTCATAAGTGAACGAGCCGAGGTTAGGCCTATTCCTTCCACTCCCTGGCCCTGTGTTCCGGCAAGTGATGACCTCGTAATTCCCACAGGCCAGATCACTTATCAGCAGAATCATTGCGCCGTCATGCCTATTGAAAATCAAGGTCTCTGTCCTACACAGGAACGATCTCCCCATGAGAATAGGGTGATCAACGTCTGGCATGACAAAGAAGCAAACCCTCGCTCGTACCTTGCCGATCTCCACAATCACGTTGGATGTCGTGCCACAAAAGATCGCCTTGCAATTGGCATCATGTAGTATGCCGTGGTCCAAGCGATCGATCTCCAACCCCAACATGATTGCATCCCTTTCCCGGATGATATTCATCTCGGCGTCCGTGTCCACCATCGCAACACACTTTTGGTCCCTCACCACCAAGTCCACCAACCCACGCGCCACACATTTCCAGTCCATCCTTGTTCCTGCCTCCGTCCATTCTACTTCTCTCGGCAGGATTGTACTCAGATGGACGTTGGGTACTAGCCTCCGCGAGAATCGTCCCTTCAAGCTGTCTCGGAGTCATAGGGCGGACGCCAGAATATCCTTTAGGTTCATAAGGTCATTATGACCTTCTAGAAGTTTGTCCACCATCCTTTTTTTCCACATCGAAGCCTTCTTCTAGTCGGACCACGTACTTCTTTCTTTTAGGTACGCTGTCGCGCTGGCTTGGCTCGGCTTCCTCCTGAACCCCTCTCTTCCTGGCCCTTAACTCCGTTCGCCGATATTCCTCTTGCCGGAGCCTCTCATCCTCCTCATCGCCATCCTCCTCTTCCTCTTCCGGAACCTCCACCACTTCTTTTTTGCGCTCGGGCTGAGGTTCCCTCCGAGGGGTTGCCTGACTAGGCGCCTGGCTGGGCACTTGACTAGTACCAGCCTTACTCTGGTCTCTGGTCCGCGCCGCTTGTGGCACTCTTCCATGCGAAGTGGGGGGTCTATAGGTCATCCCCGACCTAGGGCCCGACCCCACCGTCGCAACCCCAAGATACCCTTGCCGCCCTGACGTCGATCCAGGTCCGGATTCGTAAAGGAAGACTCTGGGAAGGTTGGCCTTCCATTCCTGGGTCTCATTACAGAGGTCTTTCAACCTTCGCTGGTACCTACTCACCTTACCCAGCAAATCCTCCATCCTTTCCAAGATGGTTACGACCGATTCACTTATTTCTCCCGATTCCTCATCATCCGACTCGACGACTATTGGCTCTTCCTTTATAGCCTCCACCTTTAATCGTTGAGTCACCTCCTCATTCTCCTCCACGATCTCCTCGACCTTACGACTGAGTCATGTCTTTCCCGCCATAACCTGAACATTGTCGGGGGTGTTGGCCCTGATGCCGCTCACCTAAGTGCCTCTTGCCTGATTCCACCCGGAGTCTTTAGGTCAATATACTTTCCAAACTTATCGTATATGTCCTCATCCATATTAGTGGAAATCAGTCCGGAGACTTCATCATCTCGTCGGTGTTGGCAAAATCGTATGGCGCGGCCTATAGTTCTACAATGCCGGCAGATGGCATTCTGCTAGTCAAAGCGGGGCCTTCTATATCCCTGACCCCCCTCCTGACCACTTTGGTTGCCTTGACCTTGACCTCCTTGGCCATTCCATCCTCCACCACGGCCTCCACCATTTCGCCCTTGTCCTCGTCCTCCACCTCGTCGCCCACCTTGGCCTCTGCCGCCATTTCCGTGTCCACCTTGTCCCAGGTCCCCCCCTCCCGCTACGCTAGCTTGCGATGATTGCGGCGTGGGTGGAGGCTGGGCTACAAATTGCCCCTGAACCGCCGAAAAACTTGGTGGTCCTGCACTCGACGGCGAGCTCGCATAGGGCACCATCTGTCCTGGGGAAACTTGGCCTCCTCCCCATGAGTTGTAGGGGCTACACATGGGCCAGGGTGCCATTTGGTAGAAGGGCGGCCACTGTCCATATGGCAATGGTGGCCCCATTTGTGAAGACATTGCCGACGTAGACGAGCTAGCGGCATTGGGCGATGGCATTACAATCGTTTGCGGGATCTGCCCCTTTCCAGAGCCCTTCCCCCTTAACAATAAATTGTGTTGCTCCTTAGTGAGGACTCGGGATCCCGTCTCCTCCTCACCATAGTCTTCCAGCCCGACTTCCTCTCCTACACCCTCGTTCCCCCGACCTTGGACGATGGTCACCACCTTCCTCTGTTCTATCTGGTCTTTGGTAATCCCGAATTTCGATAGAACATCCAATACGACCTTCTTCATATCTGGGGCTCCCGTACCTCGCATCCCGTTCTTTGCGCTTCTTCCTGTGCTGGCGCATTTGGAACTGGTGGACCTCGTCCAAGTCACCTTCTTGCACTCCTTTGCCAATTGTACCCCAGGTAAGTTTTTCCCCTCCTCCTTCCTTGCTTGTGAGCTCCTGGGCCTCCGTAGACTTGAACAATCCGAGGAGGATGGCACATTGTTCCTCTTCCGAAATCCCTAGGACCTTCCTTGCCTTTTTCTTAAAATCTTTGGCCAGCGCCCCAATGGTAGTGTAGTCATTCCTGTTAACGACTTCCAAATTTGCCGCCGTTAACAGCTCATCACCCAACCGATATTTCCTCTGCATCCCATCTTTAAATTTGGACCTACCGCCATTCGTTGCCGCTATAACCTTCTCGACTTTGTCGTGCAGACCATGGTATACGTACTTCAAAATACGTTGAAACTTTACCGCGTCCGCTACACCAACCATCACCTGCTCGACCAACTCGAGCCAATCCGAGACCCACTCTCCTTGGAACAAGAAGGTTTCAACCTTCGGAACACTACCACATGCCAGATCTCGCCGATCCAAAGCCTCAACCAAGTCGTCGAGTGTTATCTTGTTCCCACCACCGGTAGAATTGGCTTCAGTTATTTTTCTTTGCTTTTCGAGTTGGAACCCCTGACAAGAAAAAAACACAATCACTCCATTCAGCAACTAGTCGGCTTCGTAATACCATTACCGACTTAGACCTCACTTAGACTACCCACATGACCACCACCAGCTTTACCTCAATCTTCGAATCATACCTGTCCTAGGGATAATCTCTTAATCTTAACCAAACTCTCCCTAGAGTAATCCTTTAAGCAAACGCTTCAATTCACATATCGTTCTGCCTAGATCGCATATCTACCCTTAGCCTGGGTCCGACCTCTTCAGGACCTCAAAATGAGATCCCCGGCAACTGCGCCACCTGTCGAGCGCACCGGTCCAGCACCGCACAAGTCAGCACGGGACCCTCCCGGCCGCGTCGCGCAGGAGTAGGTCTAAATCCTCGTCGCAAATATACACATGGAGCTTCCGAAGGTCGCTCCGGCCGAGTGCGCCAGCCATACCTCTCGCGAGCCCCTACAACAGGATAGGGCCTACGCGAGGTACGACTCACCTTCACCTTACGGGAGTTGTCACCTCCCTTCGCTAGGCGTATCCCCGTCGAGCTACCAGTCCACAATACGAAAGCTGATCAGTTGCAATCGCAGAGGTGGACCAGCCGAGGGCGTTTCTCGTTCGATGTAGCATACGAGGTACGCGCGGTATTACACCTCTATCGGACCCGCACGCGAACCGACGACACCTTGGGGGGGCTGAAGTCCCAAGCGCGACTCAACATCGGTCGACTAGGACGTTGTCGAGCGCACGGTCCCCTGCTGGTGTGAGACCTTCCCGGTCGCGTCACACGGGATTGGCATATTCGCAAGTCACTTCACAAAGGGAAGCGGCGAAGCCGCTCCAGCCGAGTGCGCCAGCTATACCTTCATTGAGTCCCTACGACAGGACAGGGTCTCGTGAGGTACAACTTACCTCCACCAGCGGGAGCTGTCACCATCCCTTAGGTGGGCGTATCCCCGCCGAGCTTTTGAACCACACGCGAAAGTTTTTACTTGCAATCGCGGAGGTGGCCCAGCCGAGGGCGTTTCTCGTATGTTGTAGCATAGGGGGTACGCGCGGTCCACGCCTAGCTCAAACCCGTACGCAAACCGTCACGCTGGGGCCCTGATCTCCCACGTGCGATTCAACGTCGGTCGACTAGGACATCCTAGCTCAACCACGCGGTACATGACAACAAATAATTCAGACAAACAAAATGCCTAGTCCCTTTTTCATACGTTCTGACCCATAACTCAGAACTGTCAATGTGTCTGAGCGAGTCCCACACAGAGTTGCATAAAAAGAATGCAACCGCTAAGGGAACCATAACGCTCAGTCATGTGTGCCCACTTGACCTACTATCATGGCGACGCTTCATGCGTTACCCACATCCGCGCAACCTCTCATGGGTTCCGAGGTGGCGTACGATACTCAAGTATCGAAAGCGAAATATCGTGAAGGGTTTCTCCTTCACGATGTTGCACGGCTGAAGGATAAGCTGTTCGGCCCTTGCGGCACCCCTGTCTTTACGGCAGTGGGTGACGGTAAGCAAGGGGCGCAGGTCCGACTCAAGCGGGAAACCTTGTTGTGTTGGACCAGAGCCTGGGATGTCCTGGACAAGGACCTCGAATTCCAGGCTCAAGACCAACGTCCTTTGAAACGAGGTACGCTCGTCCTTCCCCTGCGGAAGGAAAATACGAGTAATCACGGGTTGGCGAGCAATTTGCCGAACCCAAACTAAGTCTCAGTCCGATCTAAGGTCGAGCGCTGAACCTTTCGCTCAGCTACGCTTGCCTATTTGCTAGATGCATGCGGCAGAAGCAAAATAACAGAATGAAAAAAGGGCGAGTCTCGGGGGAAATCAGGGAGAGTCATTCTCACAGCCATAGTTGAATCTTGTCACTCACACCCTTCATTCATTCACCTATATCACCCTTAATTCAAGAACGAGTCATCGCTCCCACACATACCTGCACACACATGGAATCCAATGAAAATCCACACACAGATGCCACAAAATGTGGTCAACTCCTCTGCTCCCAGATTCATGTCCCACACGCCCCTTTCCAATCCCCAATCAACAAAGGCATATCCGCCCGTCCCGATTCACACAACTTTTGGATGGTCATTCAAGAGAGGTACCAAGGGTATGTTTTCTTTTACACGGAAATGCCTTTCGCCTACAAGATCACAAACATTTGGGTGTGGGTATCATGGTGGGTAAGAGTTGAGTCGCAAACCGATCTGCTATCAAGTGATAGCAGAAGTTGATGAAGCTCAAGACTTCGAAGAAACTCTCGCAGGTAGCAATGACCTGCGCCAGAATAATCAAGGCAGGCATCGCCTGTCGAGTTAACGGAGTTCAACTCCATAACGCACTCTAAGCTACTTAGCAGCATCGTCTGGTAACGATATGAAAATCCCAAAAAATTCGGCAACACTTCCTTTAGGGAAGTGTGCTCGCAAAATATTTATTATACTAAATCTAAAAAGAAAACTTGAGACTTAGAAAATATCTAAAAATAAGCTAACTCTTTGGTTTCACTAGAAATTTCTGCAGCACTTCTTTTAGAAAGGAAGTTTTCCAGAATTCCTATTGACTCCAAAAGACCAAACTATATCCTATCCTAGTTGACATCTCCGAGGCTTGACTAACCCTGAATGTTAAGCAGAAATTTCGGCAACATTTCCCCTAAGGAAAAGAGGTTTCCAAAACTTCCACTATCTCAGAGGCTAGCCAAAGTCCTATAAAAAACAATCATGCATAGGAAGACAAATGCGAAAAAGAAAGGTGAGCATCTGTCTGCCTATTGCTCAAGCATAAGGCGAGCACTAACAGACTACCCTATAATGCAAAAGACAGACGAAGCTTGAGCAAAAGACAAGGCATTGCCAACAAGCATGTCATGTTTACTACGCATTTAGCCAAAACAAGGGTTCGTTCATCCAAAGTTTTTATCTTTCCCTTGTTCTGATCACAAAAATATTAGTCTTGTATCTTACTTAGTTGATTAACTTTTCGAGTTCTTCTCAGTCAACCTCATGCAATCATTCACACACTTAGCCTGGACTATTCTCACAAGGAGAAGAGTCAGACCCTTGTCAACAAGCAAAGATGACTGACTTAGCAAAGCGACCGGATCGGTCAGGAGGACCTCATCTGCAGCCCCATTTCAATTTCTTACGCAAACAGCAAAGCGACCGGATCGGTCAGAAGGACCTCATCTCCAGTCTCATTTCAATGTCTTTGGCAAACAGCAAAGCGACCGGATCGGTCAGAAGGACCTCATCTCCAACCCCATTTCAATGTCTTAGGCAAACAGCGAAGCGACCGGATCAGTCTGAAGGACCTCATCTCTAGCCTCATTTCAATGTCTGAGGCAAACAGCAAAGC